TTGGGGGTTTTGATCTATACTGTTTTCGATAGAGAACATCAAGGGCTATCGAAATCACTATTTAGATTTGATCTAACTATTCGTCTTCATTGAAAAATCTCAACGACAAAAGGGGGGCTATAATTTTGTTATACCCTGTATTGTATCTACTTTTCAATAAAATTATAGGCATTTTCATTTAATTTAATTTGTATTATATTTCAATGGATTATTTATTTTCTCTTACTTCTTCCATCATACTTTTGGCCTGGACCACTTTATTCTCTACATGAATCAGATTATTACTGTGGTATTCCATATGAAAAGGTTCTTGGACTTTCTTATACAGTTCTGAATATTTTCTTTTTTCCAATTATTTATCTGACCACAATTTATAGTCGTTGTCTGCATTTTATTTGTAATCATGCTCCTCAACTGTCACGAGCACGACAACGAAGAAGAGCAAAACGTGATCTGATGATCACTCGCCGCATTTTATTTACAGTCGTTGCTCTTACTTTACCTGGAGTACCAAATCTGACTTTCGCTCTTATGACAAATATTAATCCTCGTTTATCAGGCTCTTACTATATGTATCGAATTCAATGGATGGGTCCCACAGTAACCTTATTCATATTTAGTATATTAATGATATTTATCACTCCACAAATCAAACAGACGCTTACAAAATTAGAATTTCCTAGAAGTCAAGTAAAACCAATAGTATCAGCAATGCGAGAACTACAGCAACCTTCTATTCTTCTACCAACACAAATTTAAACTTAAAACTCTGAATGGATGTATTTTGAATTTACTACACTCGCTCAGTCTTTTTCCATTTTGTTCCTTCTAATAAAGTATTTCTGTTCTGATGAAAGAGAGTTGAAATGGGTCCTCTGTTCATAACCCTTTATCCTGTGGTTAAATCCAAATTTTGAAAGAACGTTGACGAAGAATAAAACAAACAGATTTCAGAGCTCGTTATCGATAAAATCAATGTTTGAGCCTGCTCTGTTGGACTTAGTGCATCAGCCGAATGAAAACTAAATATCAATTTCTGTACAACTCGACGATGACTACAGGACAAGCGTACTTAAATCTTTCCGAAGAAAAGGTTGATGTAAATCTGGGAGGAGCCAAAACACCGTATTCATATTTGTGTCGTTGTGTTCTTTAATCGTTTTTATGAACAAATGAAAAACAAACACAAAATATTGCACTTTAATAGTCGAAAACAAAAAATGAATTTTGAACCAAATGGTAGCACAAAGGCATTAGATGCCGAAACACTTTTTTGTTCTAATAAATACTCTTATTCTGTCCCTGTAATAGAGAAACAAAAATATGCAGAAAAATATTTTACAAGGGGCAAGAGTTCAGATTAATTTCATTATCATTTGTCGTATTAATGAGTATTGTGAATACTTGTACACTCAAATAAATGACATAGATATATAGTTTCAAGAGATCATTCAGGAAGATTTTTGTAAGGAATTAGATTATATATATTTTATACTGTCCTTCATATAGGCACTAGCGACACTCCGATAATCGTTGAATTTTATTCGATTTCGTTAATTAAGTTTAGATTGCTTCTGTCGTTTTAAAATCATTGGTAAAATTGTTTAGATGATGTATGTAGTCAAAAACAAAAAAAAAGACATAACTTCTCGTCGAAACATGAAGTTATCGAGCAGTCTGACTATGTTGAAGCAAAAATGAAAGAATCGAGAAGAAAAGAGTATGAAATCTATATTTTAGCTGTAATCATGTAGCATAGTCGAAGCATAACAAGTAACATTCCTTTTACTTCATTGTCAAAAAATATACGGACCATATGAAAGCAAGAAATATAAAGAAGTCACACTATCTATGATTCTTATACGATTGCTGGCACTACGATTTGAATTGATTTATTCGTTTGAATTACTATTGAAATATGTGCCATAAAAAACGGCGCAAATAGATAGAAAAGTATTTTATGATGATATTCAGTAAACGAGGTCTCCATTTGCATAAAATAATTCAACATGCACTTGATAAACTAATAACACAAACATCAAGGGTTAATCCATTTTATAATTTAAGTGAAAGCCTAATTCTGTCGTGCTTCTCAAGCAATTAGACTAAATTATTTCTCGTTGTGCACGATATATAAGTTCTTGTGATATAATGCTGCTGAAATTAGTTGGACTTGTAAAGCATTGTTCTCGTTTTATTTTACTTTTTGTATCTTTAAGATGATCTAATATGTTTTTCAGAGATTCTGTGCTCGAGACCTGAGAAGACTGAAATACAAATTGGCATTGATTAAAGATTTTATTCTACTGTTATTTGTCTTCATTCAACTCGTATTCTATAGCAAGATTTAAGGGAACATTTGAAGAGAAGATCATATTTTAAATTTAGTAAGATAATAAGAAAAAAATAAGTTCAAAGACTTTCATCAAATTTCTATGCCTCAGTGTTTCCAATCTAAACAGAAATTCGATATACATATATCTACTAGCTTTGTTTCACTTGATTTAAGAAAAGTATGTAACTTCTTTGATTATAAACAAAAATGTTCGGAATGAAGTTTTAGTGAATAAGAAAACGAATGCTATCCAACACTTGCTTAGTCTATTGGTAAAAAATATCTCTCTTTTATGAAAGAGAAAATGAGAGAAAACATAGAGGAAGAAACATTATTTTCTCTCACACATCCCTCATGTATTCAAATTCAAAACAGCGATTTTGTCAAATATTACTTTTACATTTATTACTCTAATCAGCTCTAGTCTTACAGTAGCGATTGCTTTCACTTTATTTCTTATCTTGGTCATTCATCTACGACAAAAAAAAAGATGTTACAATTCTTCTTGTAACAAATACATATGCAGCTATGATCGTATTTTCTCTCGTACCTTTATCAGCGACTATTAATGTTCATAAAGCAGACTTATATGGTATTGCTAGTCTTACCGACCAGCAATTAATTGAATGTCGGTTTCATGGTTTTCTTACTTTTGAAACATTTGGTTGTTGTTATATGACTTTTGTTCTCCAAGCATTTTATCGATTAACAAGAGTTGTTTATAGCAAATACAGATTTTTACAGGTATGTAAATTTCAATCTTTTTTCTTCATGTATAGTTCTCAAACATGCGATTTATGTTTAAACAATCTGAATAAGCTAAGAATGAAATTATAGGCATTTTTATTCAATTTAATTTGTATTTCTACTTTAATGGATTATTTATTTTCTCTTACTTCTTCCATCATAATTTTGGTCTGGACCACTTTATTCTTTATATGAATCAGCTTATTACTGCGGTATTCTATATGATAAAGTTTCTGGACTTTTCTATACAATTATGAATATATTCGCTCTTCCCATTGTTTATCTGACTATAATTTACGGTCGTTAGCTGTATTTTATTCGTTACCAAACTCCTCAATTATCACGAGCACGACAGCGAAAAAAGGCTCAACGTGATCTCATGATCACTCGCCGTATTTTATTTAGTGTCATTGCTCTTACTCTACCAGGATTTCCGAATGCAGGTTTCGGGATTATGACAATCATTAATATTCGTTTTTCAGGCTCTTTTCATATGTATAGGATTCAATGGATGGGTCCAGCAATAACTGTATTGACACTTAGCATAGTAATTGTTTTTATTAATTCCCAAGTCAAACAAATACTTAAAAAATTCAAATGTGTTATAAATCAATTAACACCAATAATATCACCAATGCGAGAACTACGATCACCTTCTATTCTTCTACCAACTCCAATTCAAACTTAAAACCATAGATTGTTGTAAATTAATTTTAGTAAATTTCTTTTGTTTTTATTTTCGTTTTATTTAAAGTAATAATTTATTTCTGATACAAGAGACTTGAATAAAATCTTAAATCTAAATATTATACTCGATTTATTTGAGAAGAGTAAATTAATAAGAATATGTTTACTACAATTTGATTATATCAGTTATTTTAGAGTATTTTATCAGAATTAACAGTTTTTAGGTAAATATTGAAGGATGATCAGAACGAATGAATGCAATTAATCAAATTTTTCTTTTAATGTCAAGAGAATATGCATCTCCATTTTATTTATTAAATACATCTATTCATCAATGACAAAAAAAGAATATATTCATATCTGTCCATGTGACCGACGCGCATCATTGAACAGACTATGATAATATTTCTTTTTTGTCGTTCTTTTTTACATATTGATCAAGCGATCATATATGCAACAATAAACAAGCGTTCTAAACTATGTTGTATTTATATAATATTCAGTAATCAATAAATATGGTTTGTTATATAGTAAATATTTTATATTGATTTTATTGATTTTATTTTTAGTACAATTTTTTTTAATATATTCCCAGAAGAAATGGCTTCATATGTTGATCATTTTCTGTCAGAGCAGTTGAATTTTTCATCAAAACTTTGCTGAAGTGAAAAGTATGATTGATATTATTTTTTATTACCATAATATTCTTTTTGTTTTTAAAGATGCCTTCCTAATTAAGCAGTAGTATATCGATATTCCCAAATTGGTATCTTGGTGTGGAGTTAGTGAAATTCATTTTAAAACATTTTTACTCTTCATTATATATTAAAAGTGTTCAGCAACACGGTTATTTACGATAGAAATGTTATTAGGCATGCATAATTATTACTAAATAAAATTTTCTTGTTGACTTTTTTACTGAATTTTATTTCGAAAATTTTGTTATTTCAAGTTATATAGAATTAATTTATATTTCCATTGTCATTATTCAATCATCGAAAGTTTGTGGTTGTCTGTAAAATTTGAACGACCAAGATTATCTGTGTGTCGGTTCATCTGTGGGAAAAATCTCAGAGTCGCCTAACTAATGACGTTTCTGTTGATAATATTTCATAATGAGTAATACAAATGTATAGGATTTGCGTAGAAGTGATTTTGAAAAATTCGATGTAATACTCAACTTGTGCTCAATAATCACAAGTAAAAAGATAAGTTGCAAATCTTGTCATCTATCAACTGCAGAAAAGTTAACAAAGTATTAAAGCTGTTTTTTATAATTTTCTATAGAACTTATATTTTAATATCTCATTCGTTGTATATATTTGAATTGAGCTATTTTGTTTTCTCAGTTATTTACGAAATATGATAATCAAAAATTTCACAATCAAACTATAAATAGAACACTCAATAATATTAAACCAAGAGGTAAATAAATATAAAACAATTATATCAATATTGACTAAATGTTTTACTCAACGTTATCGTGTCAGCTAGCAACATCTATAAAAAGAAAAATCTTACAAAATATCCTGTGCAATTATCTGTTAATATCATCATTTAGCCATTGAGATGATTGAAATTTAGGCTACAGATGTTTATTATGATCATCAATAGACTAAAATTCAACAAAAACTATCTTTTGAACCCATTGAAAATTAAAAAAACAAATATCTCTTGTTGTATTGCAATGCAAATAGAAATAACAAATGAACAAAGAGTGCGATTGAAATTCTTCTTTCAATTACACTTGGCTAAAAATCCTCGTCTTTATAAGAACTCAATTTGAATTATATTTTTAATCTGTTCGAATCAAGAAATCTATAATCCATTATGATCATTGATATAACAAGTGCTTCAGAATAAATGTCCTTCTAAGTATTTTCTCAGTATCGTCGCTAAAGCATAAATTTGAAAAGAAAAGATCTTTATTTGAGTAAATTGCACATAACAAGTAAAGTTTCATGTGTTTTTGGTTTAGATTTAATAAAGTAGTGTTTGCATCAGAAAAGAAACTTAGTTGAAACGAACTTCAGCGTACATTATGAGAAACAACACACTTACGAAAGAAGATATCCAAGTGATAAATCACTTTAGAGCCGAAATCTAGTGAACAATAGGTAATCGACCATGCCGAATACGAGTAGCAGGATATCTCGTGCTGCTAGATCATCAGAGTGCCAAGGTTCTGGAAAACCGATTTACTTCAATGAGAACCTTTTTCCATCAAAATGTTTTTTTTTGATCTGTTCAGATTGTAGGGCATATCGAACGCTGTTTTTCACTAATTTCAGACGATTTTATATGATCGAAAATCATAACTCCTAATTTTGCTCTTTTTTCTGCATGAATAAATATGTCGACATATGCACAACTATTCAAGCAATGTTGTTGGTATGAGAATGGTTTTCTGATCATATGGTCGTACTCCGCGTATGATCACAATATCCTAACTTGAGAAATCTAATGACGGTGAGAATATTGCTGAGAAAAAGTTCTTTTGCTTGAAATAAACAGTGTTTGTATTGTTTGATAACTGAAAAGATAGCTGTTATGTGGGTGTTAATGTTACTAAAGACAAGATTCACACCGAATCTCCTATATCGTTGTCGAGATTGAAAAGCGTGAAGCTTCTTGGCACAAAAGATCACGATTTCTCGCTTAATGAGAAGTTTAGGTTGATTTCAATTTGAAAATTTGGTTCAACGGAACTCATCTTGAGAGTGGGTGTGAGTACAGAGTAAATCACAGGAAAACAACTACAATCCACACCTACGACGACGGATGACTTTTGCTGAAAATGAAGCTCCCTTTAGTAGACGCGATCATATAATTCTTTGTTTAATATTTTCGAAGATGTGTGTATGAGTTGTGTGGGTTAAATTGAACAGAAATATTTCCAGATATTTCTCGTGACTTATGATCGTTGCCTGTCTGAAATAACAGAAAATTGTCTGAAAGTTGCAGGAAAACTCAGAAACTTTTTCAATAAAATATTGTTTCCACCTTCCATCAATTTTCAACTTTCTCACACGTAACCAACTTGTATGCATTCATCTGAACATAATCATCATCTTTTTCAAAAATTTTGTTGATTATCAACTTATCTTTAAAAACTAATCACCAGATTGGAATATTGCTTCGTTTTCTGTTCTGAATTAATCGTTCAATTTTACCTGACATGAAAAACCTTACGTTTGTTTCCGATCGTAAATTTCTTGTTGACTTCTGTGAACTAATCGAATTGATCCATGTGACATCTGATTGTGGTATGCTTCTGGTTTTTTCATGACGTGTATTTCATTTGGAAATGATAATTAATTAAGACACAAATTAATTGTTGACAAGAATATGCCGATATACACAAAATAAATATAAAATGAAGCATATATAGAGTTATGCAAATATATTGTCAAAAAACTACTTCAATTAAAACCTAGAAAAGATTGTTTTCAAAAAAATAAATGAAAATAATTTCTACTATGAAACCATTTCTGTTAATAATCCGTATCATCTCAAATGAATAATAAGAATTTCACATCTTGTTATACTTCATATATTAATAAAAGCAATTAAAACAAATGTAATTTGTATTACAATTGGTAAAATACGAATAATAAATCATATCAATCGTATTCGGAACACTACATATACTTTGGGCATACTGAAAATAGTTATTTTAGCAAATAAAATTTCACAAGAAATAGTTAATTGAGTTTTTGTTCTAGCCAGTATCTGAGCTAGTAGCCATGCTTAATTACGCATAATTGGTTTGTTTGAAGACATTTATTGATAATCTTTTCAAATAATTTGTAACTAAAAAAATCATCGCCTTGCTTGCAGCACTTCATATACAGCGATTAGCAATTATTTCGATCGATCAAATTTTGTTGAACATGGTTGACTAAAAAAATATAACAAATACATGAAGCGATATAGTCCATCAACCACAGTTTGGCGCAGTAATTTAGCCTCAAAACAAATAATCAACCTCATCCACACCCATACCCGTTTAACTGAAACATGTTTTCTTTGCCAAGCAACAAATTTCTGAGATGTTTTGTTGAAGAATTCAATATAATTAAATAAAATTATACATTTGATATAGTTTCTTGCAATGATATTTTACGAAAAGACAGTTTTTAATTAATCGCTTTACAATTTTTCCTAACAATATACTTCGTATTTTATTCGTACAATTTATTTTTCGAGTTCTCATAGTAAATTCAGCTTGAGTCAAATATATTATGGACAAAGTTGACCTATTGGCGAAAAATGTCTTATTCAAGTCGATTCTTGCTTGAGTGCTTTGTTAAATCAAATCTTGAAAAAACATACAGAGTCAACAATAACAAATGAGACTTGTCAGAATTCAATATTTTCAACGCCATTCTCTACATTGATCTTACTATTAGTTGTATCTGTGTTATCGTATTTGTTTAATGAAAAAATATGATATGATGATGTTTTAAATTTGTAATTTGAAATAAAATATTCATTAAGCAGATCATATTACATGATTCGAATAAAGAACCAATGCCTGCTTGTTTTTATGTGGAGAACAGCATACTATTTGATCTCTCCGCTCACATAATTTCTGTTCCGAGAAAGTCTCTGACTAATGCCAATAGACTTGGATATTTTTGATGGATGCGAAGACCTTTTCTTCATTCACACTCTAATTAGCTTTTCAAGTAGTTATAATAGAGAGATTATTTTTGAATATTTTTCTCATTACGGAAAATATTGAAAGCAAACAATATCCTACGAATTTAGATCGCTTCTATTTTTTTTCATTGATTTTTCTTTTATCTTGGCAATTTATTGAGAACTTCTATACTTTTTTTGAGAGTACTGTACTTAAGCGAAGTATCATTGATTTATTAGCAACGATCGAAATTGATATTAAGGAATTGAATCCTCATATCACACTTTGCGAGTAGATTAGTTTGAGGTATTTCGATGAATGAATTGCATAAAAAGGATTATTCATTTGATGATTTA